CCCAGCCGAAAGCAGGACACTGGCCTCCAACTGGACATCCTGCTGCTGATCACAACACTTTGAACCCAGCAATTCAGCCAGATTTCAATCCACCTCACTGTCCACTTATCTAGTCCATACTTCATCAGTTTGTCTAGAAGGATGTTATGGGAGACAGTGTCTATACTTGCTGTACTTGAGATAAACAACATCCTCAGCTTTCCCCTCATACACCAAGGCAGTCATCTCATCATTAAAGGCTATCAGGTTGGTTTACCCTTCATAAAACCATGTTGATCACTCCTGGTCACCTTCTTCATTATGAGCTGATTTCTTTTCTGCCTATCAAATAGCTAATGGGCCATCTCCAGTCAGAGGTTACATTCCTGTGATTCAGATTTGGCTCTCTAAGGACATTCTAGTTGGCAAAAGTGAGAAAAGTTGATCCGAATAAATAGAAACTGTGAATGTGAAGTCAGTTCAACCCTTGTGTGTTTTAACTTAATGTGGGACATCGAGTTAACAGAGTCAAGGCATCACATAATCACTCAGTAGGGATGCATAACAGAAATACTAAGATCAGTCTGAAAGAAATATGAATGGAAGTGTCTGCACGCAAAAGCACCAGAAGAAACGATACAGAGAACAGGTTACGAGAACAGCATGTATTGATAAGCAAGGACACGAGTGACAGCAGTCAAACTGGCAAACAATGAGAAATGTCTTGCTACATCTAGATCGGAAGGCCGGCACTCTGGTGAGGCCGTACAAGAGATGACCAGCCAGTTGGAGATGCGCAGCAAAGCTACAGCACATCACCTCTGCCAACAGGAAAACAGGCTGGAAGCCACAAACACACCCACAATGAGGAAACAGAGACAAAGGACAGCAATGACAGGCTGAAGCAAGCGAGCTTCTGAGGGAAAGATCACACCATGAGAACTGTTTGACTCCTAAAAAGTACAAAAACTTTGTCTAAAAGCCAGTTTATTGTCATTAATCAGGAGGAACCCAAGAGACATAGTGAGGACTTTATAGCCACTGTCCCTCATCCTCATCACACAAGTGATCCTGGCCAGACAGAAGCCTTGGTGGTGGTGAGCACATGGCTATCAGTATGAGTGGCATCTATGACAGAAGGAGTGCACGTGAGTGAAAACAGATTCATTTAAAGTAATTACCACCCTCCCCTCCAATAAGATCCTGCACTACATTTCCTCACATTACGCTCTTGAAGTCTTTCACATTTTCACTATTTTAAATACACCACCTTAGGTTCAGAGTTTTCCTTATTTAGATTAACTTTCCCAACTATGCCATTAATCCTGATAACAACCTTAACTAAAAGTTAAACTAAAGTTTCAGAACACTCCACTCCATGGGCTTAGTTGTTCCTAGCTTAACTATCAAAAGACTGTTCAGGACACAGTTTAGACTGCCGCCTATGTCTTACACCTGAATGAGGATGAGTCGCATGCCCAGTGAGTAAGCAGAACCCAACTCCCATCTATACTCCTTACAAGGGTGGGGTGTTACTAACACAGCAGAAGGTAACTTAAATCTTCTACTTTTTCCCATCCCTGATAACCCCAGGTCTCAGTCCTGAATTCTCCCTCCATTCCAATAATTTCTACTAGTCCTCATGTACTTCTGTAACACACAGGAGAGCGCCTTGACTCCATGTCTGCTGTACTCATCTGTGCTTTTCTCTTACAGGACGGAATCCAGAATGTGCGAAATCCTGCATAGGCAGTGGATTCACTGTCAAATCCTTCAGCCGCATTCCCATTCACGTCGATGAACAGTTCAGAATTTTATACTCTGCTTTTGAATGGCCCCGTGTGCTGAACCCATACGATGCACTATGCATCTGCCTTAAATGCATTGCAAAATACTTTCCCAACAAAACACATCATATACATACATACCCAATGCAAGTCGAAAAATTAATGAAAAATATCATCATGTGGCACACAATATATTACACAAGAAAATGAGAAAGCTAGGCCCAAGAAAATTTACAAATATCTCTTCCAAAAAGTAGCACGAAGACTTCTATTTTAACCTCTCATTAGAAAAATACAGACTGAGTAAACAATATAAAGATAATTTTATCGTACTTGGTAAGTCCTTAAATTACTCATTTTCAAGAACTGAGCAAAGGACTAAACACTAAATGTCAAACTGTAGTCTTTTACTCCCAAATACTCTCTTTCGGTAGTAGAGCTCAGCTCTCGAGTCCAATTTTAATAAAACGTTTGCACAGATCTTTTTTCTGGCTGGAACAAACATTAGTACAGCAAGCCCCACTCTTTCACAAGATCAGAGTTTTAACCAGTATGGAAAAAGCCCTTGCTTTAACAACTATGAAATTAAGCAGCACAAAAGTAGATTAATAAATAGATTGAGAGAGAGATAAAAAAGGTGGAGCGTTAGAGGAGCATTCTTTCTGATGGGATGTTCTCAACCCATTATTGGGCCACACCAAACACACGTTTCCCATCAGTGCTCCCACTCCAAGAAATAACAAAAGCACTTTTTTTCAAGATCAGATGTTAAGTCCATCCATAGCTATACGTACTGCAACAAAAAATCCCAGAAAAAACAGCAGACCTTTCAAAGGACAGCTTTATGAACCTCTGTGGCCATTTTTAACAGAAGATTTCCATCCTCAACCATTTACAGTCAGGCTCTCTAATTTGCCATCGTTCATTACAAGCCCAATACTCGTGCTCTAGACGTTCAAAGAAGCCTGCCTTTTGACAGCATGGTCTTGGATAGGGTAGAATATAAAAATATATTCTGTCTTGATAAGCTTGATATACAAACAAAACTAAGTTTTGACCCCCATACAATTGTATTATACAGCAGTGCTCAGCAAATAAATATCTTCTGGTCAAAACAAATAATAGGTGACCTTTGGTTGCATTATTATCGTACATTTGATTAATTGGTTTAGTGTAATCAGTGTTTATAAATCAATTAATGAATCAGCAAGTTCTGATAATTCAATTTGTTTGATCATGCATCAGTTTTCTATTTTAATTATTAGCTTGTACTGAAGCAGACAAGAGGGAAAAGCTCAGAGCTTTACTTTCTTTAAATATAAAAATGTGCATGCATGTATAAATATACAAACATATATAAAAAGTAATAAACTAATGCTTTCACTACTTCACTTTCCACACGCTACTGCCATTCTTAATTTTGCACCTTACTCTTCCTGTAGAAACCCTGGGTGAATGAGAAGAAATGAAGATCATCCTTACCTTAATGTTGCAAGCTTGTTCCATCAGTCTTCTGGCGTTCTCTTCAGCTCTGTACCTCTTGGGCAACTGAACCCTGAAGAATTTTAAAGCTCCTTCAAAATCAGCTTGTAGAAGGTCCTCTTTTGAGGTCTGCAATTAAACACAGGGAACTACTGTAAACACTGAGAACATGCAGTCATGGTCTGTTACTGGATTTGTCATTTATTGAATGTATTCCAAACCACCAATAGTCACATTAGCTCAAAAACATCCTCCTTGAAATCAGCTCTCTAACCCGTATCTCATAAAACAAAACAGAGGCTAAAGCATATCCCAGGAATCCCAGGCAGAGCAGCACTATCAGAGGACTGTAACACATTAATGTATTTTACCCTTCTATACCTGCAGGGTAAGAAAGGGATTCTGGCTCAGCCTGTCAAGATGTCCCTCAGCGAGAAGAAAAACAAAAACCAAGCAAACAACAAAAACCTAGGAGAATTTATAATATTTTCCAGAGAGCTTGTGCATTAGATCATTGCTGATTCTCATAATGCTGCCCTAAAAAGACAACGTATATATAGATATATATGGTTGCAGACATGAACAGCAGAAGCAGAAATGCATATGACTCATAAGAGGCATCAGCAAGTCAATGTGCGGAAGTCTGTGACACAATTTCTCAAAGAACACTGTGCCAGAAAATGTTTTACGTGCTTATTTCTACATCTCTCATGATACTGTACCTCTCGGTGTGGTATCAACTAACATGTCAGAAAATGTTAAACATTCAACATTAATCCAGTTCTGCTACTGATGGAGTAATATGATTCACAGGGACAAATATATATTCATCTTCAGATTTACCAAGAGATTTAGCAGATACGAAATACCAAGCCTTGGGACAGTTCCTTTAAAGGGTTCACAGAAACCGTGTCCCCAGACAAGACATTTAGGATGTCATCTCAAAAATGTGAATTGCAAGATCTTTAACCCAGAAAGAGTGAACAAAAATGTGTCAATGTACAGACTAGTATCATGGAGACCGGTGCTGTGTAACACAGTGTTATTACTACAAATACCTCAGGAGCAGCACAGGTACCTTTGGCTAAAGTTAATTGCCGAATTAATTGCTCAAGTACCACCACCAATATTTTCACGTGTGCATACTCCACTGCCTCATGAATAATGCCCTTTGTCATTTTTTGTCTTGTTATACGCAGTAGGTATATTACATACACATAGTTTTAAAGTTTTTTTCCAGAACCCACACTTCAGCCAAACACAAGGGATTTGGCTCTACACAAGGAGAACTGGGAGAAACTGTGCAGCCTTTCACATGCAAGAGGTGAGGCTTGAAGATACTATTCTTTCTCTTGGGTCTTAAATTAGTTTTAAATAAATAAAAATAAATTTAATTCTTACTACGATGCAGAGAAAATTTTACTTGTATTTACAAATCCTCCCTACGCACCCTACAAACCAGCATCACTAGTTCATTTACATGAGAATAATTAAATCTACTATGTAAAAGCCCTTCTTAAAAGAACAAAAATATTGTTTCCCAAAGCAAACTGAACTTGAATACGGTACTGCAGATATTGGAAGCACGTAACAGTAATACTCAAACCTAGCCTGACATATTCCACATTTCTGCTGAAAATGCTACAGCACCCTACCCAGAGGGTCTATCAAAAATAGCAATTTACCCAAACTTTTATTTGGTGGAGGGAAGGGAGAAGGGTTTTTGAAGGGATTTTAAATTATGTACCAAACTTGGAACAGCAACAGAAGTTAAGGGGCTATTTTCATGGTTATCCAGTATCTCTGATAGTGGAGAGCATGAGCTGACATCAGAGGTGTGCCACCCAAACACTGATAATCATCACTGCTCTGTGCCCAGTCTTTCATTTTGGGAAAGGGCATAGCAATATGCCCTTTGATTTCCTCAATCAAGAGCCTATAAAGACAAAAACTACATTGTGCATGTTCACCTGTCACCCTATGTATTTTTGGAGATTATTATACTGTATACCCTAATGGGCACTCCAATAGTAGTTTTTGCTACATTAATCACAAGGAAAGAGCGAGGAAACTCCAGCTACAACTGGAGGAGCTTCAGTGGATCCATTTCCCCATGGCTGCAGCATTTTTAAGGCAGACAACTTTCTGTCATAAAAATCCTCAGAGTTCCCTCAAGATCTATTTGATCCTCCCTTCAGTCACAGCCAAGGAAGCTGCTGGGTCATCACTGCAGGGACGCAAGACAACCTGCCTTCAGGATGCTGATGAAAAATGTTCAGCTTTACAAACTATCACATCTGATTCTGTCCACAAAAAAATTGACAGGAGGACTCTTTGGCTGAGACTCAATCAGACAAGATGATGTAATGTTGACAGAAAGCTGGTGCAGTTGGGTATCTAATGAATCAGACCCACTCCTGAATGCAGCTACGGCCAACGCATCCACTTCCTCTTCCCAACATCGTATTTCTCCTGGACAAGTTTTACTGAGGTTATATATGCTTTTGCCACACTTGAGACTAGATCACCATTTCATATCCACAACGGGTTATATTTAAGATTACCTGCAAGTTGTAGAGCATGGTGGCTGCAGCCTGTGACACAGGCAGCACACAGCATCACTGCCAAAACCTGTGCTGGCAACCAAGCTGCTTCTGGGCAAAGTTCAGCTGGGTAATGCTTATCAAAAAGCAGTAAATGGTTTGATAACCAGCTTACTCGAAAGCAATTTCTATCCTTCCCTCTCAGTGATGCTGACAGCTGTAATCGCTACACAATTCAAATAGATTTCCCTATTACATTGCAAATTTGCCTTCTTTGGAGACAAGCTCTCCTGCATTTCCAGTTCCCTCCTCTTCCTCACGCTGTGGCAGCCTCTCCCATCCTCCTCTGAAACCCGCCCCGAACACAACTGTGACCCCGGGTGTAAAGGCACACCAGCCAACCTGTGAAACCCATGTTGCTGCTTTTCTTGGTTTTACACGTAAGGTGCTCACATACTGCAGTGCTGAAAGACGGGGTAATCTCCAAGACAGGCTGACTGGTACGTGCTTCCAACAGAGTGGGAGGGTGTTTTCAATTAAGACTTCTGGACAGTTGCTCCCAGCACAAAACAAACACCAAACACACTTTTTGCCAAAGTTTTGGCATTTCATTAGGAGCTGAGCTATCCTAATTTTAAGCAAGTATCCTTCCTAGAGGTCCTGCCTAGACATTTTTATTTTAATTTTGTATTTAATTTATTTTTCTTAAATTAATATTATGTACTGAGTGTTTTGGAATTTATGTTAGAAATCAGAGGAGAAAAAACCCTAAAAAAAAAAGTAATAATCAACAATGAAATTACCCTGCTAAACTTTAGAAAAGCAGATGCACCTACCCATTATGTCCATAGCACTTCACTTAAAAATAAATACAAAAAAGACAGAGGCAAGTATGTCAGAAAAACAGCAATTACATGTAAAACATTTAAAGTCAGATTTAATTCTCCTAGGCTTCTGCTTGAATCACCGTTATAATAACATTTTAACAGCCCCCAAACAAATTACTCTCATAAAATTGTAACTATTGAGAATTTTGAGGTCTCAACCCTGGAAAATCTTTAGTCGATGAAAATCCCATAAGAATAATGGTGACTCATGGAAATAAGAACATATGTGACAATTTACTGAACTAAGTTTATAGTTACAAAAAATTAGAAACCATCACATCATATAATTTGATAAAATGACTGGTAGAGCCTATACTGTTCAGCTCTTTCTACTTTGCTGAATATTTTAATTTCGTTAAAATAATCTGTTGATCAAAAAATTAGTTGCACTATTAAAATCACGAATCAAAATAACATTCTGAGAGCAACGTTAACCGGCTTGCATATTTTCTGCGAACTAACCTCTTCAGGTACTGATCAAAACCAGGAAGCAACATAAAACCAGTGTGTGTGTGTATGTGTCTGTGTATGCAGTACAAAAAAAAATTTTAAAATAGCAATGTCTGCATCCTAAGATTCACATTTCTTGACATTTTGTGATTTTAATCAATAAATCATAAAGACATCTCAGGAACCTTTTGGCAGCTGTTTGACAGGCAGAGATTTGTAAATTCATTGGTTCATGTCGCTCAGCTTGTACAACTCATCAACAACTTATTTCACTAAACCATCTGAAAGTTTAATGAACCAATAATTAAAGTTTGGCAGATGCGTTGCATTTGTCTGCATTTGGGGACTTCAGGGCATTTTTTTATTATTCTAGATGTAATTTTCAAATAATCATATTTTTGGTTAAAATATTTTTTTAAAACCAGGCAAAAGAGGAAACGCACTGAGAACTATGTCCAAAAGTCTCAGCTTGCCTTTTAGGGTTTGACTAAATATGCCCTCGAATGTACTTCCCACATCGCTTACGTATTTCAATATATTCGTAAAATTATCTTGTATGGATTAGTTGAAACTAAGGGAAAGCCCTTTCCCAGAAGTACTAGGGAAGCTTTCAAATCTAAAGGTAAAGTTCGGGAAAACTGCTAAACGTTCAAAAAACAGGAATGGAATTTGAGATGCTTAAATGATGTTAATTGCGATTTTTTTTTTAAAGTAAATAATGTTACTACTACTTTCCCCAAAATATTTAGGGAAATGTGATTAAGACAAAGGACAAATCCTTGGCTTATTTCTTTAATTTAATTTCTCTGTCTTCAATTAATTCTGCAGTCTCACTTATTACTGACTATATCAACTACAACTCCTGTTCCCACCTGGGAACTAATACAGCAGAAGAAATTTTAGATCAACCACACTACATTTCCTTAATTTAATTCTTCCTCCTTCATACAGATAAAAATTACTAATTTCCATAGAATTCTATGTACACAGTATGTATATTTAGAATTTCTACAGAATGTCAGTGAGCATAAACTGCCTATTTTACCCTTTAATTAACATGTGTCAGGAACAAGACCAAGTTAAAGGCTGAAAAGAATCTTGCCATACTCTACTCCACTATTTAACTTGCCACTGGTAAATTCAAAATGTTTACAAGTATCCTCACATTAATTTTTCAGAACATAATATTTAATCATAACACACACAGATATGGTTTTAAGTTCTTTTAAGGAGATATGCAATGTAAAAT